AGGCACTGTAAGAGGTCAACAATAACTAATAATAATAGAACACTTATAATAATATACTGTAATAAAAGTTATGCAAATGGCCTTGGGGCCATTATTAAGTAAAATAGGGATTACTTGAGCACAAGCACTGTGATACTGCCAAAATCGATCTGGTAACTAAATGGCTACTAAGTGACTAAAAGGGCGGGCAGGCAGTGTATACAGCATGGATATACTGGACAAAGGGGTGAGTCGCATCCGAGGTGGGACAGTGTGAGCTGTCACACTACTGCAAATAGTGAAACTGTGGATAACGAGGGGTTCCTATACTGAGATTAGCTACTAGCACATCCTCCCTGGCAGCATGTTTTATCCTTTTACTGGCAGCCTGCAGTAAACAGGATCCAGCTAGGTGAGCAGGAAATCTAAGATATCTTCAACACACTGCCAAGTATTACCAAACATTTGAGAAAAGCTAAAATCAAGGGAGGCTACAGACTGACAGATAAAGAACATAATACTTGAAACAGTTAAAAATGAAGCTCAAGGATTTTAGAGGGGATCTACAAAGACAAAACTATTTTCACTAATAGCACTAAGATGTGATTTGTTTTTTTATACTCTTCTGCCATGTGTGTACGATGGAGTTTTCCAGGGGCTACATGACAGTGACTGCACAACAGAGTTAAAGCAGAAGCTGATATGAGAATTCAATTGTCTTCTATTCTATTATGGCAAGCATCAAAAGATTTGCAAAAATGTTAGATTCTGCCACTTTTCTCACTAATTTTTTTGTTTTTTATAAAAATATGTTAACATCATTGGTTTGTTATTTTCAGATGAATTAATATCTAAATTTTTTCACTTTTATTTCTAACGTAAATATTGATAGATGTACCCCACATAAGCATTCTTTGGGGTCCTTAATAATCTCTAGGTAAGTAAAAGGGTCCTGAGACCAAAAAGTTTAAGAACTTTCATTTTAGAAGAATAGAATTAGATTTGTAGTCTGTTAGAGAAGAAGGGAGAAAAATTAGAGTAAAGAAGAAATTGAAGTGTTTTTTTTTTAAAGATCGTAGAAGAGATCAAACAATATAAGGAGATGGTTTTAACTTATCAGAGGATATTATCAGAGGGGATTAAAATTTTTAAATCAAATCCAACCTAAAAATATATTTTAAGTAATCTAGGAATAATAAAAATAAAGGCTTGAAAAATATATGTCAGGTAGGTATTAACAAGGAGAAGATAGAAGTATCAATCCTATTAGCATACAAAATAGAATTAAAGATGTAAAAAGCACGAAAAGGGACAAAGAAGGTTTGACAATAATTAACTAAATACACCAAAAAGATTTAACAGCCATTGATTTGAAATGTATGATAAAAGCAAAACAACTAGATAATGAAATTGACAAAGCCATAATCACTATGGAAAATTGATAACCTATGTTGCCCTTCCCCCAAAACAAAAAACAACAACAAAAAAACAGTAATTACCTGCCTGTTTGTGGACTGCACTTTGTCCACAGTTATTTTGTTTGTCTATCACTATATTTTTTTTTAAAGCGATGAAATATCAGTTGCTATTCCTACATATGAAATTTTCCCACTGCTTAGGATTTGGAGAGACTCAAAGAGCAGAGAACTGGAGTCATCTGAGAGCTGGTTTACTCACATGTCTGGTGTCTGGGTTTGGGATGATTTGAAGATCAGGACTGCTAAGCAGAGGGCCCACATGTGGCCTCTGCATGTGGCCTGGCTTCTTCACAGATGGCGGCCTCGAGATAGTTGGACTTCTTACATGGAGGCTCACAGCTCCAAGTACAGTGTTCCAAGAAAGCAGAAACCTCATCACCTTTTATGACCTAGCCTCAGAAGTCACATAGCTTCATTTCTTCCATATTCTATTTTAAACAGTTATAAACCTTCCAAGTTTCAAGAGGAGGAGTACAGACCCTCCCTTTTAATAGGACTGTCAAATAACTTAGGGACATGTTTTATCCTCTGTTCACACAATAATTTCTATTCCTCCCAAACGCAAAAATAAATTTTCCCTTTCCAAAGATTCTCTAACCTTAAGATCCAGGGTCTAAAACAGGTCCAAGTGTAGCTGAGGCTCCTCAGCCATGCTTCCTTAGTTACATGTGGCTCTGTGTACTTTGAGAGTCTTCTGCCAGGAGAGACTAGGAAGAAGGAGTAATTATAGTTTAAACCCTGTAAGTCCTGGCTCTTATATTCTCTCAAAATTTTGCTTGAAGGCTGATTAATTCCCTTTTTTAGTCCATCTCTATATATACTGTCTTATTATTGTGGATAAAACAAACCACTGATAACTTTCAACATTCTGCATGGAGATCTTCTTAGCCAAATCCACCAGCATCAGTAAGCACCTAGTCACAGCCAACAGTGTTCCTAAAATTCTGCTACTTCATCCTCTTCAACAGTCTCTAGGCCCTTCCATCTCTACTTGTCACCTGGTCTTAAAGCTAGTGCCATGTATTTGCGGTTTTTACTATAGTAGTACTCTAATTCCTGTTACCAAATTTGTTTTAGTAACTTGCTCTGATAACAGATCACAAAACTTAGATGTGTAAAGCAGTAGCCTAGGATGACTCAAAAGGTTAGGATCATAGTGCCTGCACAAAGCTTTATGTGGTTTGATTTCTTAACAGCCTGGCAGCCCCAAAGCAGTCAGACATATAGGGTGGCTCAGGGCCCCAGGGGCAAGTATTTCAGGAAGCAAAATGCTTAGCTTGAAGAGACACACCTTAGCTATATCATATTGGCCCAGCTGTATCATATTGGCCTGTGCAGTCACAAGCCTGCCCAGATTCAGAGGAAGGGAACTGGAAGAATGTCATAGGATTTCTCATCTGACGAGTTCATAAAGAAGACAAAAAACTTAGTAAAGTAAATTTAATTGTTATTCTTTGAATTATGATCTCAGTTTATAAGTGTTAGATTTTTATTTTAAAAAAACTTTTAAAATTACTTTAAAAAGCAAATACCATTTATATATATATATGGGATCATGAATATGTCTACAGGGTGGATTTTTTTTAACCGACAAATATATGAATAAGGCTTAATATGGCTTGGGATACAATTTTCAGTGGTAGCATTATTCATAAAATTTTTAAATTCTGGCCGTGTCTTAGATTAGAGAAAGTAAAGCTCTGATACTCCCAGTAAACACTGATATTGAAGTACTATGTACTCCCAGTAAATACTCCCAGTAAACACTGATATTGAAATACTATCAGTGTTAAACACTGATATTGAAATACTATAAAGGGCTTGAACAAAATTGTTTCGTTGAATAAAATTAGGAAAAAACAATATTTCCTAAATATAAGTTTAAATATGTACATATCTGTATAAATGTTTGTATCCCTGCAAGTTTATTCAAGTTAAAAAGTTTTTAGATCTTAATTAGAAAAAACAGTGGATCATATATTTAAAGTTGCCTCATACTAAAGCATATAGCCACTTTAGAAAAATGTAATAGTAATACTAGGTATCGGTATATAAACACTCCATACTTTGACATCAGAATTAGAATGCTCTTTTAAAAAATGAATTATGTCGAACTTCTGTATTTCTTTATTGCTATTGCCTTATTTTACTTTTAAATACTTTTTTTTAAATGCCATTAGGAAAATAGCTTACTTTTAATTCTCTTTATAATTTCATTTTAAAGGCTTTCATACATGGCTAGATCAATCTAAAAACCTTATTAAATTTTACAAAATGGGCATTTCTGGGAAGCAAGATAATTATGTACAGCACATCTATATCTTTCTAAATGTGTTCTCATTCAGATTTTGTCATTAACTTGGTATGGTTTCCAACAAATTATCAAGCATTAATTTCCTCATTTTTCCTGTCAAGAAGCCACTGTTAATTTTTTTTTTTTAAGTTTCTGTAATCTTTGTCTTCAGTTAAATGTAGGGAGGTAGACTTAAGTTTTTGTGACTGCTCAAATGTTTTAAGTTTTCTCTAACAGTCACATTTTTAAATGGGAGAAAAAATGCTATTTCCCCTTGTAGCACTGTGCTTTTAACAATATAAAATACTCAGCAAGAAAAAGGTACTTGCTTAATATAAAGGTACTCAAGTGAAAACGAATAATGGTTACTTTAAAAATTAAAAACAAATACGCCAGTATGTCATATGATATAATATATTCATTTTTAGTACAGACGTAAGCTGAAACATTTGGGGAGCTTAATTTAGAAACTTCTAACAAATGTTTAGTAATAATTGTAACGGAAAATTGTTATAAAATTTAATTGTTATAAAATTGTTATGAAAATTTAAGAGTTGTTGAAAATTGTTATGTGGAAATTTAAGAATTAAACATGTTGGTAAAAATTTTATTTAATAATCATAGTATACATAATAGGTTTCTTGGTTAAAAACTCCTATGTAATGTCTTCATTTTGGCTTCTGTTTAGTTAGGAATAACATGTTTGACTTTTACAGTAGAAGTATTTGTTTTAATGCCAATATTACAACCATAAGTTGAAAGTTTCAGAATATTCTGGGTTTATTTTTGCCATTTTCTAGCCATTGTTTCCATCAGTCATTGCTGAGGACTTCTTTTTTTGAAGTGTGCCTTCCAACAAAAACTGTAGAAATTAAGTATTGTATGGTTCACTCAACCAGAGGTTTCTAACCTCCCCAACTATTAAGCTACCTTAGGGAAACAAAATGAACATGACAAAAGCATTTTCCATAAATTATACCTATCTTAGAACCAGTACCATGTACATTTCTAATTAAAATAATTTCATTGTATTTGTATAGCTTTTATCCCTAAAGAACCCAATGAGCATAAAACTAAGCTGCCTCTGGGTTTTTTTCTACACAATTGTAGTTTAGATGTCATTAACATTATTTCATACTTACCTTTTCATGAATTAATGTAGTTTCCATTTTTAAGAGTTAAAGCATGTACTATCATATTGCTGTGCTACTGTCTTTAACTATTTTTCCCTTTTTCGTTCATTTCTGTAGCTTTTCTGGAATTAGATAAAAAGGGACCACAGAAACATCACTTAGATCAGCCTTCAGTAGCACCTAGGAGAAACTACTCTTTCACAAGAGAGGAAGTGAGACAGATTGATCGGGAAAATCAGAGACTTTTGAAAGAACTGTCAAGACAGGCTGAAAAACCAGGAAGCAGAAGTACAATTCCTAGATCGATTGGTCATCCACCTAAGTTATATCACAGTGCTCTTAACAGACAGAGGGAACAACAAAGGATTGAAAGAGAAAATTTGGTAAGTAACTGAAATTTTTTAGTCATCCAAGAAAATGAATTTGTACTGATTTTAAGTCCAATTTGCCAGAAACTCAAATAGAGCCCAATTTTCAAACTTAATCACATAAAAGTAGTTATAGATATGTTTGTCATGAAAAATATATTATGAACTATAAGCCTGCTTTTTTTTTTAAATCTAGCAAACTATAAGGGAACATTAAATGAAAATACTGAAAGCTCCATTATTTATTAAATCACTGCAATAGTACATGAAATGGTGTCCAGGGGTCAGATACATATATCTTCTGTGAAGTATTCAGTCACTAGCTAAATCTATTTCATTTTATCCTCAAAAGGTAAAAAAAAATTATATATCATTTATTTTAAAGGATAAATAAGTTCTCAAAGAGGCCAGATTTGGTGATCTGCTACTCAAATGTATGAAAGAGATTGATTATTAAAAATCATAGTTACATTTTGATGTTCTAAGGAATGTATATATATGGAGACTGTAGAAAATCTTTACACTAAAAACTATTAGTCATAGCCTTTTCCTTCATAAAATTCAGTTAATCATAATTGCTGATATTTACTGAGCTCTTACTAATGACAGACATTATTCTTAGTGTTTTCCAAATGTTAACTTATTGAATCCTGACAATATTTTTCAGGTAGGCACTTTTATCCATACCTTACAGATGAAATAACTGAGACCTAGAGGGGTTAAATAATTAGCCTAAGGACACGGAGCTAGTAAGTGGCTGAGCCAAGATTCTAAACCCAGGTGGTGTCTTAAACTAAAATTAGATCCTTAATGAGCACATAAATTCAGAATTAAAATAATTGATAAACCTTTATAATTACTAAAAAAGTTTACAGAAATTCACCCCTATGTTTCATCATCAGTAAAGTCCTATTTATGTACTTACCTGAAATTATTACAACCCTTATAAATTTCTTTATTACCATCACTAACACCAAGAGTTGGGGAGCTGGGGTGTATATTTACAAAAAAATAGTAAAGTCTTAAATCTTTCAGGAAGATTACCTTGCATGTGGCAAGGAGTAGATAGCAACGAAACAAGTCGAAATGAGGTTGGTGGGTAGTGAGCTGGTGATAGCTTTCCTCATATCACTGTAGCAATTTCAAGATTCATTCATAATTTATGAAAAGGCGAAATCACTATGCCTTTTTGGTTTATTTGTTTTCACTCTCCCACATGGCTCTGGAGCCTATTTTATTGATTTAACAAGCAGTTACACAGTACATACTGTTTTATAAATTGTAGGTCATTTAATCCTCTTGGTAACCTTATAATATAATCACTGTTGTCGTGGTGGAATAAATGGGACACTGAATGGGACACAGGGACTCCCTCAAGGTCAAAGAGCTAGCAGGGTCAAACAGGTTACCTAGCTTTGGGTGACTTTTTTTAACAGCTCTTTTGAGATAGAATTCATATACCCATTTAAAGTATATAGTTGATTCAACTCAATTGGTTCTGGTATGTACATTGTTGATTTTTTAAAAGTTGTAGTAAAATAGAACAAAATTTGCTATTTTAACTGTTTTTAATTGTTCAATTCAGTGGCATTAATTACATTCACAGTATTGTGCAACCTTAATACTATCTATACTCTGGACCTGTTAAATAATACTTTCCATTCCCCCTTCCCCTCAGCCCTTGGTAACCTCTGTTAATCTATTTTCTGTCTTTAAGAATTTGTCTATTGCAAATATTTCATGTAAGTGGAATAATACAGTATTTATTGTTTTGTGTCTGGCTTTTTTCACCTAGTATAATGTTTTCAAGGTTCATCCATGTTATAGCCTATATCAGAATTTTATTACTTTTTATGGCTGAATAATATTCTGCTATATATATGTGCCACATTTTGATTATCCATTCATCTGTTGATGGACCCTTGGGTTGTTTCTACCTTTTGGTTATTGAGAATAATGCTAGAGAACACTGACATAAAAGTATCTGTTCAAGTCCATGCTTTCAGTTCCTGTGGGTATATACCTAAGAGTAGAATTGCTGGGTCATATGGTAATTTTAAGTTTATCTGTTCAAGGAACAAACTTTTACTTTTGAAAAGTTGGAAGCATTAATATCTAGTGGCTATTCTGTATCTGAATAAGATGAAAACTGTTAGCCGTTTCTGTTTATAGCTTTTATTATCCCCCAAATCAGTTGTATATTCAAGCTATAAACAATGGAAAATTATCACTATTTTATCTTTACCTCATATACTTAGTAATTTTTCTCCATTTTATAGAAAGATCTTATTTGTCATACTCAAGAACATTAGAAACATAATGCGAGCCACATAATATAATTTAAAATTTTCCAGTAGTCAAAAAGGTCAAAAGAAACAGGTGAAATTATTCTGATATAATATTTTATTTAACTGAATAAATTCAAGATACTACATTTTGACATGTAAGCAATATTAAAAATTAATGATGAGCTATTTTGCTTGGGTTTTTTTTTTTTAGTACTGCCTTTGAAATCTGTTGTATATTTTACACTTAGAGTACATCTCAATTTAGACAAGCCACATTTCAAATGCTCTGTAGCCAATGGCCTTGGACAGTGCAGCTCTGAATAAAAAACTAATTCATACAGAAGTGAAAAAAGTAGCTTAAAATTAAACAAGAAAGTAAATATAATTTATTATAAAATATCATTTATTACATTTTGTAAGGAAAGCTAATCTTCCAGATTTATGTTTAACCCTTTATTCTATAAACCAAAATAAAGGTAACTCTATATCTTTTAAAACTTTTCTTGGCTTTTCTTTTGCATTTATTCTTCATAAAGACTGATTCTTTTTTTAAAAAACCTATTATAAATTTTCATTGGAATTGTGTTAAATTTATATTTTAATTGTAGAGTAGCACTCTTAAAATATTACTTTCCTTGCCAAAAATATGGTATGTTGTCTCATTTATTCAAGTTGTCTTATATTCTATCTTAGTAAGGTTTCGTAATTTTCTTCAAAACTATATATTATATGCTATTGTGCATGATTATTTTATTACATTTTCCAACTGCTTACTTTTGAACTATTGATTTTTGTATATATATTTTATAACCAGCCACCTAACAAACCCATATGTAGAGCCACATTGCCTCTAATCATTCTTCAGTGTGAGCTGATATACTTTTTAATTTGTTTGCTAGGCTGTTCATAGTCAAAACACATGTGTCCATGCACATGTACACATACACACACTTTTATAGTTCTGTGTCAGATGTACTGCACAAGCAGAGGCCATTACTTTATAATTTTTATGATTTGTATTTCTTCACTTTCTTCATCTCTAGTGATAGAGATCAATTCACATGGCTAAACAGCATGATGGCTAAAGCATTTCTGTTCCATTTCTGTTGCATGTTACCAATCCAGAGGCTGTTCAGATGCATATAATTCAAGACAAAGAAGTAGTGCTGTGCAGAGGAGGTAGAAAAAGAGAGGAGAGATATTGTATAAAATTGAGTCATGAGCTTTAGGGTTAAAAGCATGGTGTTAATCTGTCTTTCTGGTTTAGTTTGAGATCTTCATTATTTGTTTCAATAGGCAAATATACCTTTCCCTCTCATTCACAAGGGAAATAAATCAAAGGAATAATGAAGAAAAAGTAATTTTGTCCAGTAGAGGGAGTGCTTGCTACATATAGATTCAGTTATATTAGAACTTTATTATTTCCAAAAATGGGACTAATTTTTTATTTCTTGAATCTTGAAATATCTTCATCTGAACATAATATGAATCATATTTTTATGAAAGAGCATAGGAATAATCTTAGCAGAAGGAGAGAGGGTCAGCAAGGATAGTAGTTTATAGTTTCGCTTTACTCTCTAAAAGAAATGAGACTATTTCATTCTTTTAAATGTATATCAAGTTTCCTGAGCTGTGAAAGAAGGGGCGAGGGGTGGGGTGGTAGTAATTGATGAGGGAAGAAGTAAGATTCCTATAGGAATGTATCAGGATTAGAGCCTAGAGTTCAAATGGAGTTAACTTATTTTAATTTTAAATCTAGAGAGAAATAAGTAGACAATAAAGTAGACCATAATTTTTCCACTCAGGAGTTCCTGTGTTAAAATATTATTTTTAAAATAAAAGTAATGCACATATAAATTTAGAAAATTCCAACTGATCTTAAAAACATTAAATAAAAATAAAATCCTCTCCTGTTCTTTGCTGGTCTAGGAGAGTAATTTTAGAGCTCTTAGAATGTGAAGGCTATTAAAAGCAGAGTGATATGTTTTCATAAAGATGAAGATTTATAGCAAATCTTATACCTGCTATAAGTATTAATCTTTTGAATAATCGGTACCTTTATTCTAAGATCTTGAAATAATTTACAGTTTATTCAACCTGGTTTTCCTTCTTCTCTACTTAGTGTCTGTTTTCTCCTTCCATAGAAGAAATAAAGCTAATGATAACTAAGTATGACTCCAGCTGTAGAAAATTGGGGAACAGTCTTGATTTTTCCCAGCTATAGGACAGTTGTTAGTCTTTAATCCCTTCAGGGTCTTTGCTTTATCACTTTACAAACAATTAAGCAATTCCTCTGCTGACAGCTGTAGAAATCTTTAACGCATTAATTATTCATTCATTTGTTTTAACTTTTCTACCTCAGAAGACAGACAGGATTCAGGCTGGGTTAATTTTCTTTCCAAAAACAATAATACTTCCAAGATAAAAAAAAAAAAAGAAATATTTGGATTCATTATTAGAATCAGATTCGAGTAGCAATTCTAAAATTTTGTAAAACAAATTGGAATATAAGTAACCATTCTTACCATTTTTCAATTCTGCAAAGATGTCTAAGACACTGCAAAGAATATTGAAAATATATTAAATAATGCCTTGTCAAGTAATTTATAACTTAGCTGGAAAGATAATACTATTACTTGTTAAACAGCTAGAAAATAATATGAAGCAACATTAATGATAGCATTCATATTTAATAAGTTTTTCCTGTATATGCCAGGCACTGTTCTGAGCAATTCATGTATATTAGCTCACTTATTACTCAAAGCTGATTCTGTGAAGTTATTTCATTGTGAGGATAGTTCCCTATTAAGTCATTTGACCAAGGTAACACAATCAATAATAAAGCTAGGATTTAAATCCAGGTCTTTACTACTAGAGAGTTTACATTTTTATTCAGTCTATTACACATGTTACAACATTTTGAACTATCATTTTTAAGTTTTATGGAGGCGTATCAAATAGATTACTAAACTGAAATGTATGTGCTTTCTAAAAATTTATTTTAATTAGTTTCAAGTATACAGTACATTGGTTAGACATCTATAGAGTTCGTAAAAACAATCCCCCCAATTACTCCCTCCCTCCCCTGACCCTCCACGTAGCCAACGTATTAATTCTAACTGCATTCGCTATGCTGTGCTCCCCATACCCATGACCATCCATCAGGTACTAATTTGTACTTCTTTAATCCTTCACCCCATTCTCCCAGCTCCTCAAACCCCCCTCCCCTCTGTCCATCACCAAATTGTCCACTATATTTGTGAGTCTGTTTTTGATTAATTCATTCTTTTTATTCCTTAGATTCTGCATCTAAGTGAAATCATAGAGTTTATCATTCTCTGTCTGACTTAAATACCTTCTAGGTATTTAAAGCAATATCTTTTTCCATCCCCTTCCTTTTAGTCTGTATGTGTCTTTTAATCTGAAGTGAGTCTCTCGTAGGCAGCATATGTATGGGTCTTGTTTTCTTATCCTTTCAGCCACTCTATCTTTTGCTTGGAGCACTTAATTCTTTTCCATTTAAGGTACTTATTGATAGGAATGTAGTTGTTACCATTCTTTATTCCTGTTTTTGATACATGTTTTTTCTTCTTAAAGAAGTCCCTCCAACATTTCCTGTAATAGTGGCTTGGTGTGATAAATTCCTTTAGCTTATTTTTATCTGGAAAGCTCTTTATCTATCCTTCAACTCTAAGTGATAACTTGTCTGGATAAAGTATTGTAGATCCTGGGTCTTCATCCTGTCAAATATTTTTTGCCAAGCCCTTCTTCCTGCATAGTTTCTTTTGAGAAATCAGCTGCCAGTCTTATAGTGTTCCCTTATAGGTAACTATCTGTTGTTCTCTTGCTGCTTTTAAGATTCTCTCTTTGTATTTAACCTTTGGCATTTTAATTGTGATGTGTCTTAGTGTGGGCCCTTTTGGATCCCTGGTTTTTGGGATTCTCTGAGCTTCCTGGGGTTTTATGTCCATTTTCTTCACCAAGTTAGGGAAGTTTTCCATCATTATTTCTTCAAATAGCTGTTCAACATCTTGATTTTCTTCAAGTACGGATATTTGGACCCATAATACTGTCCTGTATGCCCCTTAAATTCTTTTAGTTTTGGCATCACATCTCTTGCCATTCTGATTGAGTGTCCTTGGCTTTCCCATCCTCTAGATAGGACATTTGATCCTTTTCTTTATTCACTTTGTTTATTCCTTTGTTTATTCCATTTAATATATTTCTCATCTCAGATAATGTGTTCTTCATTTCAGACTGGTTCCCTTTTATAATTTCCATTTCCATATTTATGTTTTTTATCTCTTTGTTGAAGTTCTCCCTGAATTTATCTACACTTCCCAAAAGTTCATTGAGCATCTTTGTAACCAGTGTTTTGAACTCTGCATCTGTTAGATTACTTGACTCCATCATAGCTGGATCCCTGTTCTGTTCTCTCATATGGTGTCTGCTTCTTTGTCTTCCCATTTTGGCTGCCTTTCTGTGTCTGTTTCTTTGTACTAAGCAAAGCTCCTAAGTCTCCTAGTCTTACTAGTGTAGATTTGTGAAGTAGGTGTCCAGTGGCACAGTCCTGAGAGGGGTTGAGCTGCAGGCCATACTTAGCCCAAGCCTCTACCCCTCCAGGGCCACCTGTTAAAATTCAGCAAGCAATACACAAATGCTGTGTTTATAGTTGCCTCAAAAGGCCATGCCAGAAACCAAGGCCAGCTGCCTCCAGAGTGAGTCTAGGCACTGCTCAGCAAGGAGCACGTGACTTACTGAGAGTATATGTACCTGGATGTGGCTTAGGTGGAGCCGTGAGTTGGGAGAGGCGTGGTTTCAGGGGACTCTCTGGGTGGAGCGACCTCTGTTATCCAGTTTGATGATGTCACGGCTGTGGCAGCACTGTGTCCGGTGCACTGGAAACAGAGAGGGCTCAACAGAGAACAATGGAGACCACCAGCACTTCTGTACAGAGCATGTCTCACCTTGGCCCTCACTCTGACAGTGTCTCCCTGTAAGTCCCTGGTGCACCCTGAGCACAGCCAAATGGGCACTGGTACTCAGAGCAAGCAGGTCCCTTACCGCAAAAATCCACTCGCACCGCAGCCCCTTTAAGAGGCATCTGCCGCTGCAGCTGCCTCTGCCACAGCCTCCATCTCACTCGCTGCTCTAGACTGGGCAACCTTGTGTCCTTGCCCTGTCCTACCTTCTGCCCGTTGCAGGGTGATTTCTTGGATTTCTCCCTCGTTGTATGGTTTGTTCATCAAGATCCCAGATGATTTTTCCTTGCTGCTGCTCCTTGTTTCCATCACAACTTTAATTTGGTCGCCAGAGAGATGAACAGAGCCTCTATCATCTATGCCATTCTTTTTCCTCCTTGAAATATATATACTTTTGACTTTAGGTTTTATACTGTAATTATTCATATTTTGATATCATTTATACAAGCAAGAGCTATTTCTATCTGAAATCATTCCTTTAGCTTTTGCTTAGCTTATTTAATTCATATGACACAGACTGATAACATGGTGTGGTTCCATGTGGTTTGGATGGCTGAGCCAAAGCATTCTCTTATTTCTCCCGAGTTTCTGCATGTAAATCTGCAGAATAATGGGTTTACTTTTGGCCTTATTGTGAAATTATTTCAGAATTGATTTTGATGATATTTATATGTTTTACATCTGATTAATATGCATTGTAAGTTTCTTAAAATTTTATGAAGGAAAAATACACATCCAACCAAATAAACTTTAAGAGTTTATCTAAAAAGTATTGAAACTTCCACCAGTAAAAAAGCAAAATTAGTAGGTAACTGAAAATAACAAGTTTTCTGTCCCATCCATTTCACCCTGTACATCTCAATAGGTAGTTAATAATAGATAATTAGATAAAACATAAAATGTTGCTCTCCCCAGTAAAATACATTGATATGTGTGATACATAGGAAGTTTTTTAATCAGTCTTAGACCTGATAAATGTCTTAAACCTGCAATGCTATTATCATCCCAGCTAAGTTACAAATTATAGATGGCAGTATTCTATATTTTTTCTCATATTCCTTCCACTATCTTACATAGCTCACAGCATTTAAAAACTAGATAGAGAAGATACAATCTTAGGAGGTTTTGCCTCCTAAATTATACAACTTCTCTGTCTACAAAAAGAGAAAGACAATGCATTATGACGGAAAGAACATAGACTTTATAGATGGAACCATGTTTAAATCGTAACTCTCAACTCAGCAAAGAAAACCACTAACTAGTTGGGTAAGGCTTCCCTGAGCAGTTGACTCTTTTCTAGCCTTGGAAAGCTGTAAACTGAGGAAGTGTGTTGCATGCAGAAAGAATAGTTGGCAGGCTAAGTTCTTAGTTAGTATGTCTGTTTCTTCATGTGTTCTGCACATCCACCATTTGTCTCCCAAGTTCTGTTTATTTCTATAACAGCTTCCTTCGCTCTCTTTTCTAAATAGCTTTTCCCCTGTATGTTTTGATTTATTCTTCCATCATCTATTCCTTCTCTGGGATTGCTCAGGAACACTGATAATGGAACCTCAGAATAGAAGGGTAGGGGGTGAAAATGCTAAAAGCAAAACACTAGGTTGGGAAGAAGTTCTGGAAACGTTTCATGGTGATGGTTCACAATGATGTGAATGAACTAAATGCTTAAAATGGTAAATTTTATTTTGTGTATATTTTACCACAATAAAAGGAAAATAAATTGAAGAAGAAGAGAAAAAGATTGTGTAGAGGAAACTTGTCCTATGACAAACTATGAGGCTTATTTTTTAATGTGAATCTTGGTGAAGAATAGCATTCTCTTTTCAGGTAAAATTCAACATGCTACAGAGAAATTTTAAATCAATAAAGAAAACAATGAAACACAACCATGGATCAGTTCCTCAATCCATTGGTCTGCTTGAATAATCCTTTCTCAATGATACCTGAGAAAATCAAACAAAAGAAACACCTTCACCTTCTGATTTGTGAAGAAAGAAAATAAAATTCAGAACATATATATTAGACTCTTATTAATCATATTAAAGAAAATGCCATGTTATTGGATATTATGTTGCCTTGGCTAGTTGGTTTAGATATCCTTTAAAAAGTTTTATATTCTGTGGTAGTTGATTTTCAAACTTCTTGGCAGCATAACCATTTTTACCTCCCAAACTAGATTTTAGGAAGAAATGAAAATATGAATCCACCATAATATAAAGATAATATAATGATACCATATAACATAAAGAATATAAAAGACAATTCAGAAAGCATAGTTGGGTTGGTAGAAATTAGTAGTGAGAGACCTAAGAGCTCTATCCACTTGGCTTTTCCTCAAGTCCTACTCGCCCTAGAGGCACTGTTAGGAAGTCGGAACAGGTCAAAAGCCACCGCTCTATAATCATATATAGAATTTATAGAAGTTTTGATGTTTATGGTTATTTCAGGGCTCTTAACATTATGATTCCCATTATGTCATTTCTATGAGAAAATCGGGTTTAATGTATTAAAACTTACAGCACCTTTTCTAAGATTGTAACCTGACGTAAAAGAAAGTTGTGCCTGTAATCCATTGTTAAAATCATAGTGGTTTTTGTTAGTTATACAATAGGTGAAAATCCTTAAAATTTCCTAAAGGTATATTATTTGAAATATTTTTTTACATAGTATAAGTGTTTGCCTTTTTTAAAAATATTGTTATTTATCTAACATTGAATTTCAAATTGATTGTCTTTAAATGAAGGCTTTATTGAAAAGACTTGAAGCTGTGAAACCAACAGTTGGTATGAAACGCTCAGAGCAACTGATGGACTATCATCGCAACATGGGTTATCTTACCTCATCACCATCCTCAAGACGAGTGAGGTCGACTCTTGGCCAATATAGCCCATTAAGTGAGCACATTCAAAATTATTTTGTACTTGTTTGTATCTCTAATCTTTTTTTAATGTTATGTTTTTATGACAGAGTTTTAAAATGCTGACTTCTGGAATGAATTTTGTTTTCCTTGTGTTAATTCACTTAATCTCAGGTTTCATTTACAGCAGGTAGTGGCAACATAGGAAGAAAACCAGGAAAAAAGAAAATTGAAAATATCAGTAGTTTTCTTAGATAATGGAAGGGAGACTTAATTTCAATATGTTTATTAAAAGAAGAAATGAATAGATGTGCCATTTAAATGTTGCCGAAACATTCTGCCTGGCCAGTGGAGAATTTTGGTAATATCTTCAGCCCTCAGATGTACTTTGTCTTCCTCATTGAGGAACTAAAACAAAAATTAGCAATCTGTGGAGTCATCAGATATAGTCCCTCTTAATGTTTGATATGTGATCAGTTACACATCTAGTCAGTGATGTATCTCAAAGAATGTAGGCACAGAGTGACCACTTAGTGCTAAGTTATGCAACACACAAAAAGGCCAGACCTCTTCCATTACACAAATCTGTCCTGTTACTTCATGTATGCATTCTGAACTATGAAAAATAGAAGCCAATACTAAAAGAAAGTTGGAACCACTTAAAGTGCCACAACTTCCTAGTACTCATGTGAGTCTTAAATAATCAAATGACTAGTAATTCCATTCATTTTTTTCTCCAAGTATCACTTCCTTGGTATAGTGACTAAGATAGCATCTTGATCCAACAACTCATACTTAGTATTATGTCTTGAATGTGGTAAATTATTTGTTGAATAAATGTATAAATGGTTATACAGAGATTTTTTTTTCCACTTGAATCATTTCAGAAACTTTTTAAAACATTTTTTTCCACCCAAATCTATTGAATCAAAATCCCATAGAGTCTGGCCATGTTGAACTCTGAAGTACATTTCTGGTTGAAAATTATATTAGACTATTAAACACGTGAGAGAAGAAAAATTTAGTCTGGACTTAAAATTAGGAGAGGAAGTTTATCAGATGATAATTTTTATATTTAGTTTAAATAATTCAAATTATTTCTTATTTTTCATGTATTTTCAGGAGGCGCTTCTAGGACATCCAGTGCTACCAGTGGTCTCAGTTGTAAGAGTGAGCGATCAGTTTTTGACACATCAGGCGGCCTGTTGCTGAGACCTAAGCCCCCTAATGTCCGTACAGCTTGGTTATAAAAACTTTTTATTTTAAACACTGTTCATCCAATTCTTTTTGAAGTGCTCTTGTATATTACTATAATTCTCTGTGTAATAACCAAATACTATAATAACTTTTAAGAATTTTAAGGTATACAACAGTGAGTTGTAATTTATTATAATTCAGTGCAAAATTGTTTTCAAAAAAAGACCAAGTAAAATCAGTGTTTCCTATGAAGATGTATTTATATGAGCTGTATACGTATTTAACAGAGAAATGGTAGTGTGCATGTATATTTTCTCAACATAGAAATTGATTCTTCTGTCATGCTGACGAAAACAGTTATGATAGTATCACTGCACGTTGGACCTAAGATGTTAACTACGAAGGTCTCATTTTATGGTTTCTTTGGTTGTTTTTTTCCATTTGTTGTAAACTTTAAACTATGAGCATAGCTCTTAAATTTGACTGGCTTTGTTTTCTTTTTGTTTCAGAATTTAGGTGTTGTGACTCATAACTTGATTGTCAGGTATACTTTCTTATCATAAAACAAATCTTGAAATTTGTTTTCATTGGTAGAGCTGATTTAGATTTGATAAGTAGATTGAGAGAAGCTTGTACTGGAGCAATCCTCATGATTTGCTAGAGGTATCTACTACCTCTGTGTAGTTGTGCTCAGTTAGATCTTAAAAATTTAATCGACTATTCCAAACCATTTCAAACTGTGAGTATTAGGAAGTTCAACTTAGAAGCCCTTCTTTCATGTTTTTGTACATTCAAGTAAAATGCTGTTAATGATTCTGAGAAATGAGGTAGGCTTTAGAGCTACAATCTACTGCATTATGAATAGTTTGTCCAAGGATCAGTACATCATAAAGACAAGTATTTGTCGAATCAGCAAAATAGCACTACCAGTTTGAAGACTAAGCAGATCCTGAGTTGTGTCAGAACGGTGTTTTAAGTGATACTATTAACAAGTTGTGTTATATTTAGTATTTATTGTAGTAAAAGAAGATAAATAAGAAATACATTGTCTCACAACTTTAGAATCCCAGCTAGAGTTTTTAAGAGCTGAAAAAGAAAACTAAAATGTGAAGGGGAGAAAAATCACATATTCGTTGAGACTACTTTAAATGTCTGCTAATTTTCTTGTCTTGTTTTGGTTTGGGCTTACAGACTGAATCCTGGAAATATTTTTGCCAGTTCCACTTTTAAAGTACTAGTAATCTTAATGGCGTTAGTAATGCCAAATAGGGTGTAATACAGTTGACTTTTGAAATTAGAGTATTTTTCTGGCAATCTATAGGTGCTTATTTTATCCAACAAAGTGCATCTCGGTCACAGTTGCTTTGCTGTCCCAGTTATCACTGTTTCTCATTACTGGCCTTTTCAGTATATCTTTAGAATGTATTGGAAAGTTTCCATGTTAAATGCCAAACCTTTTTTTTAATATACATATTTGATCTGTAGCCACAAGAAGAAGATTTGTATTTTTCTGGGTTAACTCAAGCACTATAGCATGTATGCTGAACTTAACTTTTCTTAACCCCTTTAGAAGAAAGCCAAACTGCATTCACTAAACATCAATTCAGAATCTCTTGATCTTAGTTTGTATTGATAGGTTTTGTTTAGGATAGGGCATGTGAAGCATGGGAACAGTGGAGCTAAAACACTTCATGTGAATACAACCTGACTGAGATTTTTGTGCTTCTTTTTTTGGGCTACGATGTTCATTCATTGTTATTTGGTGCTCTCTGTTATAGTGAACAGGTTTTTACATCATTTAGTATTCTGCTTTATACATAAACTTTAGCTATACTAATCCAAGGTTTGGTTTTTTAACTTATTGCACTTTTAGTGTTTGTATAACGACCTGTCTTTAAGGAAGGATAGGATAATGCTGAATTTAAAACTCAGCATTTGAACATCTGTCCAGTAGTGATTAGCCAATATTTTAAAATTGATTTTTAAGTTGTTAGGGGAAAATATACATGAAAGCTTTTAATGTTCATAATGGCATTAGTCTCTGAGAACATTTTACATGGTTTTGCTGCCATATGTCAAGTATAATACATAATTTCATAGATAAGTATCTAAAACTTTGATTTTAGATACTAATTTAATGCCTTTAGTTTTTACTGCATTGACAGGGGAGGTTCATCTAGGTATAACAGTGATTCATCTTGAAGTAAAAGTTGGGAAAAGCAACAATTTTTTTTTTTAAAGCAGAATTTACAACTTGTCATGATTACTTATATACGATAAGTATAAGGATAGAAGTTGAAAAATGTGATATTCTCATAAGTCAAGGTACTTTGAAGTTGTTATGGTTTGAGGCATTTTTTGAAGGAATCTTAAGTATACTATTTTCATTTTCAAAGCACTACTTTATATTTGGTTCACTGTACCTTAATATATATACTGTGAAGATTTATATCTGCAACTAGAAATTATATCAACCCAAGGTCTAAATTATTAGGCAAGATTCCTATTGAGAATTATTTTCATACCTGTCAAATGTTAAACTAATGTTGCCTCCTTTTTAATAAGGTTCTATTAAAGACTTTGAACTAAAAGTATTTCCTGGAGAGCTGT